CATATTAAAAAGCATGATCATACCCTTGGTTGTGAAGGACGAGCTCAAAATGGGAGCCCACAGGAAGGCAAGAAGAACCAAGAAGGTTCGCTATTCTTCTCTGATTTGGCTTTGGAAAGCTCTCCCTTGTCTAAGGGGGTTTTGTTGTTGTTTGGCTAATCAAATCCCCAACTATCTTCCTAAGCAGAGAGGGGCATTTTCTAAAGAAGTATCAAAGAGATCACGATATTTTTACATGCTCTTTAAACAACATAGTCTCAGAAAGGAAAATTGGGACAAGGCATGTCTCTGGGTGAAGAATGGTCAAAGACAAAGACCAAGCCAGGATAGATCTTTATTAAAGAGGCATCTGCTGCGGCTTGCAGAATCTTTACCCTCAACACTCCTTGTGGGAAAAGGCATTCCTGGCCAGGAAGAGACCCATCTGGCTTCATCACCAAAGTAAGCTGGACCCTCATCCTCCTAAATGACCCTGAGACTCAGGAAGCCGGAGAATCTTGCAAGTGGAAAGGGCTACCCCTACAATTTGAATATTAAGTCCACGGAGGGAGAAAAGTTTCAAAAAACAGTCTCAGAAGGAGCCCAAGGTGACCTGGAAAGATCAGCCCCCCAGGGAACTGCTTTACTTTCTCCTTCTGATTCCCCCAGACCTCCTCTCCCCCAGCTTTGTCTAAGGGCAGCAGGGCAACAAGAGAGCAGAAAGTACGCAAAATAAAACGCGAGACGAGGGTTCTCGCCACGGGCTCTCCTTCAGAGTCCAGGTAGCAGAGTTAAATACAAACAACATCAGCAACGAACTCCTGAGGCGCACATACACGGCCCTGAATGAGCCCATCTCGTGCAAAGGAAAACGGGATCCCCAGCCCAGAAGAAACTGTCCTGCGTCCAGCCACGGTCCACTCTACCACCCAAGCTGAGTTTGCCCAACTCTTACCCAGTACGTGCCATCTTGAGGTTTCGCAGCACAGCCTATGGTCCCTGGTCTTCGCCCAAGGCCAGCGCAGAAACGAAATCTGGTCCAAATGCGCGGTTCTCCTGCGAGCAGTGTCCCAGAGGCGAGTCTCGGGTTAAGCTCTGAGGTGGAGCCTCACGAAGGGAGGCAGGTCTGCACTGCCCGGAGTTCACCGCATCAGGAAAGTACTTGAGACAAACTTGGGCGAGGTTCTCCCCGTCTGGCCTGAGATGCTGGAGGAGGAGGGGAGTAACCCGAGCTAGCTTCGGGGTGCCTGCAGTTGCCGCTGCAGCAGCTGCTGCCACCCGGACAGTGGCCGCTGGAGGGGCGGGAGGCTGAGGAGGGGGCGCTGGGCGCCGAGCTCAGCTGGGACGCACTGGACAGGACCTTCGCGGCCCGGGGCCTGAGCCGCGATCGCGGATGGGACCTGACCTGCGAGGTTTCCAACCCCTTGAGGGCGACTCAGTCAGTGGCCAATTCATTAAGTTGGGGAGCACCCCAAGGGTGGGGGAGTGGGCACACCTTTGAGACCTTCCGCGGCTCTAGCTCAGGGCGAGCCCCCTGGTCAGGTTCCCCTGAGGTGTTCCAGACCCGCTGCAAAGATTTGGCAAGGGATTGGGGGCGGAGGGGGGTGGGGGGAGGTTCTGCACCAACACAGCTCACTAGAGGGGTGGGCGCGTCCCCAGGGGAGCTCCGGAAAGGGACATAAATGGGGGACGGATACCCTTGGCGTTGCAAAAGTGCTTGGGGAGGCGGGGAGTGGGGTGTGGAAAGGGGT